TTATAAAAGCAGAGCCACTGAGTATTTGGGGGAATAAAGGGCTTACTAAAGGAATTAGATCTCACAAATGCGGGAAGAAGAGCTGGGCAAATGAAGGTGCGGAAGACAGTGAGGATGAGGGTAAAAATCACGTGCCGGTCCACTCGCAGCATCTGCACAGGTGGATAAGCTGGAGCTTAAGGGGAATTGGAGATACCAACAGCCTGCGGAAAGCCGTTGTATCTGGGTTGCTTTTGGTTTCCAGGGCCAATGATTGGAAAGGCGAGCTGGACACATAGAGCAAGGACAAGCTGGGGCCTTTAGGACAGCACTGCAACTTTTTTGACACTGTATTTAACCACATCAGCCTTCCAAGAATAAAGCCTGTTGCTTTACGTCCGCCTTTCAAATTCCTAACAAGTTGCTCTTCTGGCGAACTCTAACATGAAATCTGAAGGGAGAGGGATTTTAGGAAACATAGTTTCCATCTTAAGCAAATTGACATGTAGCATAATCCAGTACACACGAGTATGCAGCGGTTTAGCCCTCTTAACATGGGGGTTTACTTATCTGGAAAGTGCCAAACTACTAGCAGGTACAGAGTATTTTATAGATTGTGTTATATAGTTTTTTTAAAAAAAGAGTTTTTGATTTGGGGGAACTTACAGTTTCTTCAGTAAAAGTGTGGATGTTAAAGCATTCTCAGAGCATATAAGAACAAAAATAACTATAACACATAAACATTTACTTCACACGTCTACTTTAATACATGAGGTCTTTAGAGGTAATGTATCAAATGAATTTTTATAAATTGAACATTTTTCCTAATAATAAGTTATAGTGTTAAGAATATGATAATTTCCAATTGGTTTCTGATAGGCATCGGCACATGATCTTTTTTTTGAATCTAGGTTTCTTGAGTTTTATTAGCACAATGTCATCAATGTCGTAGACTGGTGGGGTCTAATGGATGGCGAGACAAGCAAGATCCTTGCAGACTAAATTATACCACCAAGTCCATGCAAGATAGGGAAGGGTACTTTTCTTTCTGTAGTGAAAGCCCTCTCTATCTGATGTTGTCTCCTGTTAGGTAGAAAAAAATATACCATATCAGCACTTGGTTACCAAGTCTCAGGGGCAGTGATGATTGGTTCCAGGAAACAGATCATGTCTGGAACAGTAGGTATAATTAGATCCACCATTACACTAAGTTTATAATAATCTATGACATTTTCCAGGACCCATCTGTGTTCTGCTCAGTTTAAATGGGTAGGTTAAACCGCCTGTTTAACCATATACACAAACACACACTTCACAATATCTTTCAAGTTTTTTTTTTTTTTGATGGTGGGGCCCATTTCTGTGGTTTGCAGAGATACGTGGTAACACTTTGGATTTTTTCTTTAAATGGGGGAGGGACCTTCAGGAGCTTTCCCTTGGCCCTTTATTTTGCAGTAGCACTCACTGAGGGCTCTGCTGGCTGTTGATGTTTCTAATTCAACTCTGCATTCAAGAATGAGGGAAGTAACCACTGGGTGGGTTCAGAGACTTACTAGGCCTGCCATGGATAGACGACTTCCATAAACCCTCTAACGCATCATGATGGTGTTCTCGTCCCAAAGGATTAGCATTAACTGAGAGCTGAGCAAGCAGCCCCGAAAGGTTATTTCTTTTTCCTGAGGATACTATTACCTGGTAAATGGTTACAATTACTTCTTTGGGAAAGACTAAGGAAGAATTATGGTACATATTTGTTCTGTTCTGTGAAATGATCCAGGGATAGGAATTAGGTGAAAAGCAATTCCTCCTTTTCTTCTTCCTCTACTTTCTCTTCCTCCTTCTCTTTTTTGTATTCCCCCTCCCCCTCCTCTTTTTAAAATATAGATCAAGTTTGAATTTAGCTGTCTGTCAGTCTAATTTGGTCCTAAGTCTTCATAATCAGCCACCACCTAAGATCCATGTGAGTTGCCCTATTCTAATGATCATTCTGGCTGTACCTATTACAAATGAGCATGCTCACCTGGCTCCAGGGTGTAAGCCAGTCTCCACTACTGTGTGTCCTGATCATCCCTATTGAAATCAGGAAGCTCGTTTCAATAGAGGGATCTGCAAGCTTTTCTCCCAGCTTACGGGGGACACCTGCAATACTAAAGCACTTTTCAAGGATGCTGGTCATTCCATGCCTGATATATCCTCACAGCCAAGATGAAAGGGGTGTCCCCTCGGTCTTCATCGGGGACATAGTTAGGGGTTGCAAATGATAAATTAACAACCACCTTTTTCTTCTAAGATATCGGACTCTTTCCTCCACATTACACCAAGGAATTTCTGGCCTCTTAGCTTTAGTTTTGGCCATGTTTGAGTCAAGGTCTTAGTCAAGCAGTTGAGCAAATAGTTTAGAACCATCTCCAGCTGCTTGAGTTAGCACTGTGAATTGAACTTTTCTGATGAGCATCTAAATTCAGCTGATTTAAAGTTATGATCCTCTTTGCCCATGGTCTAACACTCATTGACTCTCTTTTTCCCCATGGTCCCAAGGTTTTCCTTCTAGATGTTAACAATATCTTGCAGTTCTTTTTGTGTTTAAGCCTATTTATATGTCTGGAGGCAGTGAGAGATAGAAGGGATCAGGTATGAGGAGAACTGGCATTCTCTTGCAAGGTAACTCCTCGGGCTGTCGTCATTGCGCTGTCTAAAGCAAGGTAGCACTTGTCTTATCAGGTGCAGGCGGGCTGCCTCCTGGAAACTCAGTAGCATTTAGGAGTGTCTGTTAGCTGAATCATCCCCAACGTCCCCATTTAAAGTCTTCCTCCTTCCTTTCCTTAACGACTCCTTTACAACTGTTGGAGTTATTACTGCTATGTAACAAACCATGTCAACGTAGGTGGCTTAAAACAACAGCAATAACTTATCTCTAATTGTTTCTGTGGAACAGAAATTTAGGCGTGACTTGACTGGCCAGGTGTGATGTGAGAAAGATCAGGTGATACAATATTAACTGTAAATGAATATTGATAAATGGAAGATGCACAAGAGCAATTATTAAAAAAATAATAAAATGATATGTGGCTAAAAGGCAAGAGAGGAAAGAAGATGAGTGACTAAAATATACTGGATTAACCCAATCAGATGCCTTCCCTTCACACAGAACTGGTGAAACTGAATTCACCCTGTACTGTAATTCAGCGATCCTGCAGGAGCAGCGTCTCTATTTGTTGTTTGGCTATGCCAGGTTGGCAGTTACAAGGGAAGAGAAGTTCTTTCAGGCAATCATAGAAATTCTCTGAGAGTCATTTTCTTTGTTTGAGCTGTGCAGTGAAGCAGCCAGCCTACCTTACAGCCCTGTGTTCTCTCGCGACGCCCCATCATTCAGTGCCCGAAGCCCTGCATTAGATAGGTGCTTTTCCCTAAGTATCCCTGGATATCACGGACCAATAGTGTTCTACCCTCCCATGACCACTGGATCCTCATTGTCTTGAAATCCAACCACATTAGATAAATAATCACAAATACTCATTTTCCACAGGGGTGTGTTGCCTACAGGCACTTCTACAACCAGTTACTATGGTGGCCAGTGTTTAATTGCACACAACAGAATCCACTCAAACTGATTAAAGCAGGAAAGAATGTATAAAGTGAAATAGCCTTAAGAAGTTCTGGGAGGGTGCGGGTATCAAGTTTCAATGCCAAGCTGCCAAGAGAAATGCCTATGACTATACTGTGAGATCTTTTCCGCAAAAATTCTGCTGTGACTACAGTGTGTTACACATAATTTGGTTGAATACATCATATACATATGTGTGTGTGTAAATATATATATGGTTAAATACATTAATAACTGTTGTATTATCTGTGAATAAAGGAATTATATGGATTGTACTTTAAAACTTTATTTTGGTTATTTGGGACTTAGAACTGTTTTTCCTTAGAATCTGTTTTATAAATTCTGGTTCCATTTTTCAGACTAGTCTTAAAAAGTCTACCTAACCCATATGATATCAGAAATGCGGAAGAGCCCACATCCTAAGACAGCATGCCAGAAGTTTGAAAACACAGCTGTCTTTTAAAAGGTTGCACAAAAATTAGACTGCTTAAATGAAAAATTATGGGTATGTCCAACCCCCGAAAAATGAAATGTACGGACTGGACGATTCCAGTCGCGTAAGGTAGGGAGTCCAAAGAATCCTTCCGCTCCTGCAGGATGGTTCCCGGATGTCTGCGGCACGGCTTTGTCGGCCACTCCGGCGACTCCACTGCTGGTTTTGAGAAGGGGTCGGTGTGGGAGGAGGGAAAGGAGCCCTACTGCCCTGCTTTCTGCCCTCTGTTCAAATAGGGCGGAGGGGTAACAGACAGGGGCGGGGAGAGTGGACTGTGGTGTGGTAACCAGGACAGAAGTAGGTGGGCAATGAGCTGCATCTTCACTGTCGACATGTAAGAGTAATGCCCACGCCTGTGTAGCATACGCTCTTTAATTTCTAAAGTGAATGGAATGTCTGGAAGCACGTAAGTCTTGTGATGGCAAGTTTTATCTGTGAGGCAAGATGTAGTTTGCTTAAGAGGTAGGTGTTTAACAATGCCTCATACATTGTAACCCCTTCCTCCTTTTGTAAGTGTCTCAGCAATCCCAGACTCCCTGAGCGTACCATTTTACAAAGGAAAAACAGACTCTTTATTGCCGTTGGATAGAGGTGGATTCAAGGTGCTGCTCTAACAAATGATCACAGTGGCGACAGGCAGAGGGGGAAGCAGGGCACTGGGGAGCTAAATGAGTCCCCAGGTAACGTGAGGGACGCCTCTCTGCTCAGCGCCTTTCCTGAGGATGCCCGCATTCACTTGTGATTCCTCTCTAACTTGTACCACGTGTGTTTTTTATCGTCCCCTTCGTCTTCAGCCTGTGTCCTAGGTACATGAAATAACCGGGGCATTTCAAACTCTGACAATACAATTTTAGGTCACGTGGGGTAAAAGATGTAGCTGTCCTTTAAAAATGGCAATTTAGTGGTTTTTGTTGTTATTTCTAGGCAGAAGAAATCCTTAGGCAAGAGCTGGAGAAAAAAGAAACGCCGAGCTTGTACTGCTTGCTCGGAGACGTCCTCCGCGACCACTCCTTCTACGACAAGGCCTGGGAGCTGTCCCGGCACCGCAGCGCGCGGGCCCAGCGCTCCAAAGGCCTGCTCCACCTGCGAAACAAGGAGTTCAAGGAATGCGTGGAGTGCTTTGAACGCTCCGTGAAGATCAATCCCATGCAGGTTAGACAATTCATGAAACCCCATCTGCTCTCAGCGCCAACATTTTTCTTTGATTTTGATTCTTACTGAATGAGTTCCCATTTTCCGTCCTGATGACTGGTGAGCCTGTCCTCGAGAACTAAGAACCTCGTCTGATAAACTTCTTGCTTGTCACCGAAGGTGGACGGGTAGGCTTTCCCTTGTTTACTTTCTGTTGTGTTTCTCTTAGTGACTTTTTGTTATTTATTTCCGTTAGTTGTCCATAAAGCAAATTCCGATATTACAGATAGGATCCATTCTCAAAAGATTTGTTAGGCAGGAGAAGAATCAGAAGTAAAATTATAGACAGTATAAGGCTCTGCAAGTAATTGCCGCAATCAATAATGAAAGACAAGCTTTTATATAAACAGGGCAACACAGAATGGGTTGTTGATCATTGTAAGAAAAACGTTTAGCAAGCATTTACTATGAGCCAGGCACCTCATTGGACATTTTACCAGTATTTGAACCCATATGGTCTGACTCCAAGGCCTGCACTCCTTTTGTTTTGACTGTGGTAAAAAGCACATCCCATACAAGTTCCATCTTATCCATCTCTAAGTGTACGTTCGGTAGGGTTACATAGGACCACGTTGTTGTGCGAGTGTCACCGCTGCCCATCCCCACAGCTTTTTTCACCTTGCAGAACTGAAACTCGAGACCCATGAGAGAATAAGTCCTACCCCCCTCCCTCTAGTTGCTGGCCCCACTCTCCTGCCGCGTCTGAATCTGACTACTCTCAGTACCTCATAGGAGCAAAATCACAGTGTATTTACTTTTGTGACGGCATAATGCCCATAAGACTCGTCCGTGTTGTACCGTGTTTCAGAATGTCCTTCCTTTTTAAGGCCGATTCCATTGTCTGGATGAACTGCGTTTTGTTTATCCTTTCATCTGTCAGCAGACAGTTGCGTTGCCTCCACCTCTTGGCTATTGGGAATAATGCTCCTGTGAACGTGATCATTTTGGGACTTGGTAGACTCAGCACATGCCTTCTACATTGAGAGAAGAGCAGAAGTACATTTTTGTATGACAGGTTAAGCTAATTGCTTACTTTCCTCACTCTGGGCAGTGACAATCTCCCAAATCGGCCGTCTGGCGAAGAGCCTGGAGAAGAGAGCAGGGCAGGTGTGAGCACAGAGCATCAGCAGAAATCAGCCCTTGCGCTTGGCAGCAAGGACGCCTAGAGTGTGGTTAGCAGTTGGTTTCTGTCGACAGCTCGCTCTCTGTCAGCGGTGCGCAGCGGGCGCTGCCTGTGCCCCCAGGGGTACCTGGCAGTGGGGGTGGTGTGCTGCTGGCCTCTGCTGGCCTGGCGAAGAACGGTCCCGCCTGAAACATCAGTAGTGCCAAGGCGGAGAAATCCTGCACTAAGTTGCTTATGACTAGACTTTTTTTTTTTTTTTTGGTAGAAAATAGAACTGAATAGTGTGTTATTAAATTTTACTTCTACTTTTATGGAAAACTGTATCATGTCTTAGTAGCCTCTGCCTGTTACCTAACCACAGCTGCCATGAAAGTAGGGGAAATAAATTCCCTCCCCTCGGCTCCCATAGTCTGAGTGAAATCAGCGCCAGGCACGTGGTAGACATGGAGCGTTCGTTCTCTCAAGCTCATCTCCTTTCAGCATCCAACCATTAGCACTTGCCTCCTGCCTCCCTGGCTCCTCCTTCTCAGCCTTTGACGGGTCCTAGGTGTGCCTTATGGCCTAGTCCTTGCACCTTAGCTCTGTCTACACTCACTCCCTTGGTTCATCTAGTTCATAGCTTTTAATATCATCTTCACACTAACAACTCCCAAAGGTTTATTTTCAGTCCAGTCCTCCTGAGCTCTAGACTCCTGTATCTAACTGCTGCCCTGTCTCCCCTTTTGTTACTCGTACTTACATTTCTGGTACCCGAAACACTGTCCTATCCCTCCCAGAGGCTCTCCCTGCCGAGGTCGGCCCCGTTTGGCCTTAGAGTCACCCCAGCCGTCAGTAACCCTGGCAGAGCTGCCTTCCAAATGCGTATGGAATCAGACGACTTCTTGCCGCCTGCCAGCGTTCTGATTCAAATCCCGACTTCCTCTCACCGAATTACTGTATTATCTCCTAACTGGTCTTTCTGGCTCTGTCCTTGTCCCCATCTGCCTGCTCTCAATGAACATCCAAATCAGTCCTTTCAGATGTGTCACTCCTCTGCTCCATCGTCTAGTGACAATAGCCAGAGTCCCTCAGTGGCTATCATGCTTTCCCCAGCTCGGCTCCTGTCGCGCCTTCCCCTTCCCTCCTCCCAGTCCCCCTGACTCTCCCCACAGTAGTCTCTTTGTACTTACCTGAATGTTTCAGGCACATTCCTGCCTCAGGATGCTGGCACCTGCTCTCCTTGCCTGGAAGGCTCTTCTTCCAGATATCTGTGTGCCTTGCTCCATAGCCTCATTCGAGCCTTTGCTCAAATATCACTTTCTCAGAGAGGCCTTTGAAGATCATTCTATTTTAAACCACACCTTCACCATACACTCCTTAACTTCCTTCCCTGCTGTATGTTTCTTCACAGCACTTAGAACATTCTAATGTCATGTCTAGCTTACATTAAAAAAGTGCCGTTTCTCCTCCACTAGGAGTGAATCCCATGAAGGCAGAAATTTTAACTCTAAATTTTATTTGTATTTTTTTTAGTACTGTAGCAGTACCTATCACATATTGGGTAGTCAATAAATATGTGTTAAATTAATGGATAAATAATATGTTTAACCAATTATTTAGCCAAATATATACTAATTGTCTGCTGTGCACATAGCATTGAGCCAAAGGATAAAGCAGTAGCAACAGATCACCAGATGGGTCAGTTTGTACCCTTTTGGAAGGGTGAAGTCTAGTGAAATGCACACAAATAAAACTAGCCAATAAAAGGAGGCATCAAAGAAATGCCAAGTGAGTTATTTGTAAAGCACCAGTTACACAGAGGCCGAAGAGGATATTTCTGCCTTCGGTAGACATTGGAGAGCACGTCGAGTTTGCCTTGAAGGACAAGTGCTACTTAAAGAGTCCGGGGAAGGGCAGGGGTGAGGGCATCCCAGGCGGGTGGGCAGTGTGAGTGGAACCCTAGAAACAGAAAAAGAAGAGGGGTGTGTGTGTGTTGCGGGAACAGAGAGGTGAGTGAATAGGCTAGTTTTTTAGAGCCAAAGGGAATACAGCAGTGGGAAAGCCAGACTGAAGCCAGATTACGAAAGGTCTTAAATGTGAGGCTAAAGTCTTCCTATGACTTTCTGTTTGGCAGATAGAGAGCCATTAAGGGATGGACTTGTGTTGGGTTTTGTTTTGCAGGGAGGAGTGTGGTGTGCATGGAGGTAATTCAGGAATATTATTTCAGCAACACGATGGCCATGGAAGCTACTAGATGTGGGCAGGGTTAGGAGACGGTAGCAATGGTCTGACGTGACGGTTATCAGCGTAGAAGGGCAGTAGGAAAGAAGGGATGGATGTGAGAGAATTTGCATGGGAGGATTTGACAGGGCTAAATGGTCTCATTATATAATTTTGAATTAATTGCTTACCAAGACAAAAAAAAAATGAGTTGTTTGAAGCAGGGCAAACAGATGTTATGTGAGGATATTTTGCAGTTTGCCATATGGATCCGATTCAGGCCGGCTGTAAGGCACGCCAAGATGTGCAGCGTTTGGTGCCGCGGTTGTACAGGACTGCTGCGGGCGCGAACACCACAGACTCGTTAGGACTGCAGTCCGGGTTTGAATTGTCTCTGAAGAAGGACAGCTCCTACGTGCGATGATCTCCTTTAAGTCCTGGAATAAAAGGAGAACAGAAAAACTGAATTTAAAACATTCTACCTTCTTTTCTCACACATGTCCATGCATTTAGATTTAATAACAAAATTTAGGCAAAATAAGAGTGATATTTGAATGGCTTTTGTGCATGGTAACAACTTTCTGAAATCAAATTGGTATAAAAATACGAGTGTTTGGGATGATTGGCAAGACTAAATGCATCACACATGTCCATGCAATTAGATTTAATAACAAAATTTAGGCAAAATAAGAGTGATATTTGAATGGCTTTTGTGCATGGTAACAACTTTCTGAAATCAAATTGGTATAAAAATACAAGTGTTTGGGATGATTGGCAAGACTAAATGCATCATCACCGGAGAACCAGAAGATGTGTGTAACATTTATAGCACTTGTGCTCTTGAGATTGCCTTCATTCACTCATAAATTCATCAGAAAAATGTCAGTCACATGGTATTGGAATTAGATATGACTGAGGAACTGATTAAAATATGTGAATACCTAAGCAAGATTAAAGTAATATTAATTCTGTAATACAGTGCAGAAATGTGCAAATATCATAAATTTATAGCTTGATTAATGTTCTTTTTGTTATTTCTAAATGTTCAGGTGGTCAGCGTATAAAATTGTTTAATTTTAATACACAGTATTTTTATTTTTCAAAAAGAATTTTACCTTTGAAAATAGTTTTCAGATAGAATGATCTTATAGATCCCTGGCACAGTAAAACCAATTTGTTGATCCACAATTTGTTGGCCAACATATAAGGTCTTTTTTTAAGTCCTACAATTTTAATTATTTTTAATGTCCCATTTCACTTTTAAAAATGTTGCAGTTTGAACAGTGCATTAAGTGGTTGCCTGACTAAGCACTATGGAGATCCTTCTGTGTCCCTGACATGGCTGTGGGAATGAATTAGACTGTGTCAGCCTGTGAGCAGGGAACAGGGAGTTTCTGCTGGGAAGCGATAGGGGCAGAGCCAGCTGGTGTTGGGCCTTAAATGCCTTTCTTCAGGGTTATCTAACCCCCTAGATGTGGAAGTCTGTTGTGGTTTTGAATGACAGAGTGATAGGTCAAAAGTAGCATTATGGGAAGTTTAAATAAGGAATGAGTGTCATGGATGAGTGACCAGTGGCTTTAGTCCTGAGGATGGAAAGATAGGACAGTTCGAGGCTTCGTTACAAAGGATAAGTTTCAGG